CTATATATATATATATATCTTTTTAAAAATATTATGTGTAGGTGTGAGGCGTGCTGACAAAATGAGTTACTTCTTGCAATCCACAAATGGAGATATTGGCCTAAAATCAACACAAGGGTCAAATTTGTACTACGGATTTTCTATTGTTGATGCAATATTCTATAAATATAACATGCCTTTCATTAATCCCCACTTAGGTGACGTACTGTCTAGGACAAACACTTCCCTCCCCGACATCCGACAATGGGTGGTCCACGTAGAATAATCTGTGGCACGACACGGTGGGATCGGGCTCTCGTCAATTTTGGGTATATTTTGGGAGTTTTTGGTATCATCGTAAAGCTTTTTCATTTGTCATACTTCCTACGGAAAAAAAATACATGTACCCATTTATCTTGACAAAAACCTGAGATATTTACGAATGAAGGAGGTGCAGGGGGTCGCATGATTTCAGAGGCAAAATTAGTGAGAAAATGGCTGCCAAAGATTAGTTATTTCTTTATCTTGAAAGTCCATGGAAACTGAAAATTTACACTTTTTGAGCCTTTAATCAACGTTTTTCTGTAAAATCCACACAAAAATGTGTTTTTAACGGACATGAAAAGTGTTAATCCCAAAAAAAGAAAATTCAATAAAAATCCACAGACCTGCGGAAAAACGCTGATTTATTCGATTTCGTTATTTTGACGAGTGCCTGATTTGACGACGCTGCCTCACATTCGTTCCTTTATACACTGAAGCAACGGTAGAGGAGGGGGAGGGGAACACTGCTGAAACATATGTACACCTAACGTTAGGTACATAGAGATAACAATAACAGGACAGCATTGATGAAACATATGTACACCTAACGTTAGGTACATAGAGATAACAATAACAGGACAGCATTGATGAAACATATGTAGACCTAACGTCAGGTACATAGAGATAACAGAAAGACATTACGGGAACATACAGACCTAACGTTCGGCACATAGAGATAACAGGACAATATAAGGGGGACATATTACGTAGATCTAAAGTTAGGTACATAGAGATAACAGATGGAGAAATAAATGATAGGACAATACTTTAGGAACATACGTAGACCTAACGTTAGGTACAAAGAGATTACAAAACTACATATCTTTTACATACAGACCTAACGTTAGGTACATAAAGATAACAGGACATTGATGAAACATACGTAGACCTAACGTTAGGTACATAGATATCATATACCAGACGGGGAAATATTCATCCAAAGACAGGACAACATTGCTGTCCTTTTATCACAGAGGTGTGTTGGGGGGTGGTGGGG